ACTAATACCCCCTCCCCAAAAATCACCACCTCTAACTTTCTCCCTTTTCTTTCTCTCCCAGAGGTGGAAGTGCGACCAGGAGGCCAAGACCCCCGCCGGCTCCTGGGGTGGCCTCTCCCCGCGCAAAGAGGATGAAGACCTCAACAACGTGCTGGATTTTATCCTTTCCATGGGCAGCGACGGCTACGGCCAGGCCCAGCCGGTGGGGACTATCCCCCTGCCCAAGGGGAGAGCGGCAGCTTTTACCAGACAAACCCATCCCCGGGATGCTACAGTGCCCTGGAGCAGGGCAGCCCCCCACCCTACAATGCCGGCATCGTGCCGGAGATGATGCGCTCCGAGATGGACTCTAACTATTGCCCTCCCAGCAACGTCCACGGCCGGTTCTTCGTGACACCCAACTTCGGGGGCCCGCAGTTCGTTGAGACCATTAAGCCCGAACCCGACATGGACAATTATGGACCGGTCCTGGGGCTGGTGCCCCAGGCTTGCCCGAAGATCAAGCAGGAAGGCAACGCAACCTGCATGATGGCCTATGAGCAGCCCCGGGTGGCCAGTTCCCCCCAGATCCCTGGGGCTGAGACGCCCCCGCTGAGCCCCGATGATCTCATGGTGAATGACTGCCACACGCAGATGATGTGCCCCTCGTCCGTGTCCTTCCAGCAAAGCTACCACCCAGCCTCGGGCTTCCACCACCCGCAGACCCATCTCCAGTACCAGAACACCTCCCAGTTTGGCCTTTTCGAGGACAACCTGCCCTTACAACCCTCTGCTCCCAGAGGCATGCTCACCCCTCCTTCCTCACCTCTGGAGCTGCTGGACTCCAAACCAAAAAGGGGACGCCGGTCCTGGCCGCGGAAGAGGACAGCCACTCACACGTGCACCTACGCGGGTTGTGGGAAGACCTACACCAAGAGCTCTCACCTGAAGGCCCACCTCAGGACGCACACAGGTAAATACCACCGGTTGCCTTCATGCTGCTTGCCGGTTGTGATAGCCACCCTTATAAAACAATTTGCAGCCTGAGCTTTAACCCTGTAGTCTGTTAAACTCCGGGGGTATTCGCGGTTGAGCTACAACAGGTGATCAGATGTATAATAGCTAACAGCTTTCCTATGTGTGTGTATATATATATTTATATGTGTGTGTGTATAGAGAGATAGATAGATAGGTAGATAGATGTCAACTTTTATGTCAACTTTTCTGAGGGCTTCCAATGCCCTTTCTCACAAGACTTTCGCTGCAGGTAGAGATTAGTAAAGACATTGCTTAGAGCAGTTGCGTTTGGCTTAAGAGCACTTGGATCTTATTGTAACAGGGTTTGGTGGTGAACAAAATTGAGATAAAGAGGGGAGGCTGCCTCGCATGTGATGCTGCCCGAACCTGAACGTAGGAGTGGCGCGCTGAGTCACGCTCTCTCTGCTTCCTCCGACAGGTGAGAAGCCCTACCACTGCAACTGGGAAGGCTGTGGCTGGAAGTTCGCCCGCTCCGATGAACTCACCCGTCACTATCGCAAGCACACGGGCCACCGGCCCTTCCAGTGCCACCTCTGCGACAGAGCCTTCTCCAGGTCGGACCACCTGGCTCTGCACATGAAACGGCACATGTAGCCCCCCAGACCCTGACCTGTGGACGTTATTTAACTGCTCAGGTGCAGGAGCGTTAATAGACTTGTAGCTGGTACTACGTAGGGAGGCACCGACGCTCCAGCGATGGACGCTGAGGAGGATTCGACACAAGGAGGCTTAGCCAGGCATCTCCTGCAGAGAATTTGACGTGACTGCATCCGTGAACCTGCCCGTCCCGGCCAGGAGAACAGGGGTTATTTATGCAGCTTCTGTGAAGGGTAAACTCCATAAGACTCCATACAGATTGTACAGAAGAAGCTGTAAATATATTTGTTTTTTTCCGATTCTAACTGCCCAGTCCTAAGCTTTACAAGACAATGTTTGTATGGAAACTGCCTGAAGTTGACCCTAGAAGAGATTAAATGAATGTTACTGTAGCTAATGATGTTATTTTAGCTCTCGGTTGAAGGCATGGCTAAGAGAACACTCCTATTGTTAGACTGTTTGTTTCACAGGTGCAATAATATTCTTGTTTGCCATGATCTACACTAGAAGTACAGGGCTTGATGTCTTGTAAGAAAATAACCTATTTTACTGTAATTTTTTTATATATTGTAAATAATTTTATACAATGAGAAATATTGTATATGTAAATAGAAGACAAATGGGTATTTTGCCTATTTCTGTTTTTATAAAAATGTGATTTTTCAATGTTTGAAAACATTTCATCTTTTTAATAAAATAAGTTTTTAATTGCTGTGATTTTTATTCTCCTTTGAGATCTCCCTGTTACTTGTTCCTCTGGCCAGACCAACAACCACCTGGTTACATTTTAAATTATCAACAGCTCTAAGAAGACACTTAAAAAAATCTGAGCCATGGATTTCTCAGCAGTAAACAAGGTACAACACGGTGTTTTATTAAAAAAATCAAATAGGAAAGTAGATCGTATTCAAAATACACTTCCTAAAAATGGTTAAGTAAGCAACACTGTAATTTCAGTCTCATTTCTAGTTTATGCTAGACTATTTTAATAGCATCCTTAATGTTTTCCAGATGCAGTTATAGTTTTGCCAGCAGTGTGTGGGTTTTTACTATAAATTTAAACACTGCATTTTTGTAATTACGGAGGCTTATTTTAAGGCATTCTTGTACATAAATTATCCCTGCTCTCCAGAGCTCAGTGCAGAATTCCAATAGAACAGTAGTGGAATTTAAACATATTTTCACAACACAGGTTAAAACACCTTCATAACTCATTCCCAAAAACTCAAATTCACTTACTAATTTTGAATCCCACCTAGATTTTGGGAGCTAAAGGTATTTACTATTACTTTGGAGGAAAATAAGGAATCCAGATTCTGAAAACTAATTTCAAATGAGCTGGATACTGCAATAGCTGTGGCCGTAAAGAGCTGCGATGTCGAATGGAGCCCCCCAAAAAGCTCTTCCACAGCTGTAAATGAGATCATAGCTCCAAGCACTGGATCTGTGCAATTACTCTGAAACTCTAATGAGGATCCTCTGCTTTCACAGCTACGGTTTAGTGGTGAGCCCTGATGCTTGTCAAACAAAATCACTGGTAATAACATATGCAGAGTCAGCTTAATATTGGAGCACTTTTTTCCTTAACATCTGGGTACTTGGAACTTGATTTTAATCAGGATTGTGTCATTTTTCTGACTTTACAAGTTAGAGTACACAAGAATGAAATCAACAGGAATGCATTTAAAGTAACTACAAATATAGCTGTTCTTCTGTGAAAGCAAAGTCTGCAGTTGTTCATGTGGAACAGATGTATTTTAGGCTTCTAATCACTGACATGGAAGAATGAGTTCCACATTTCACTTTTATAGCTCTTTCAAAGTGAAATATAAGGGAGATTTAACATTTCTTCATTAAAAAAAAACACCAACTCATTTATTTGCTAGAAAAAAATTGCACAATCTAATTCCAGAAAGTGAGGATGACTTAAAGATGTCCTAAAATTAGCACATTCATTGTTGCAACAGTTCTAGGTTTCCTCCTCTTTCCCCATAGCCGAAGATTTTCATATTTCAGCATGTCCTTTGGTGTTTATAACACAATTTTTGAGATGAATTCTTACCCTTACCTTTCCATAGTCACTTGGCTTTCCCTTGCTCTTTCTGAAGAACTGGAAATTGGGATTTATTTTTTTGTCATTCCCAGGTTTCAGTGCTACATGAAACTAACTAGTAATGTAGGACACAGAGGTTTGGCACCCCTCAGCCCCACATTGGGGTCAGCAAGGTCCCAAGCAGAGCCCCCCCCAGCACTTGGAGGAGCCTGGCAGCACCACAACACAGACGATGCTGCTCAGCCCCAGCCATCTCTCCTAACCTCCATTAGGCTGGGGTAGGTGGCCCTTTGGCCACTTCTGTATCCTCCCAAATTACAAGGGTGGAAGAGAGCTACAGCCACCAACGCTGCACGGCATCGAGATAAACGACACTGCATTCACCAACACTTAAAAAAAACCCCTAAAAAACACTTGTGTGGCTCCTCTGCAGCACCCACCGCAGTGGCATGGGTGCTTCTCCTCCCTCCTCTGCATGGTACCAACGTTCCCTTTGCTCCGGTCGAGCCAAAAGGGTCACAAGCTCTGCTCCTGTTCACTGGAAGGGCTGCAGATAAGACACTTGCTCTATGCTATCGCACTGCCAAACAGCTCCCAGATCATGATGATCAGTGGAGATGGGCTTTGCTGTGTGCTGTTTGGGGTGCAAAAATGAGCAGGTGGTGTCCTCCGAGCTTTTAGATTTGTTGCGACTAAACTGAAAATAGGGCAAAGCCATCCTCATAAAGAAATATAAAAAATCCCATGCAAAATGTAGAAATATGGGCCTCTTGAAGTGGGGAGGAATGGGGCCACACAACACTGATAAAAACTCGTGAGCAACTTTAATTGTTGAAGGGAGGGCATATACGATAATTTCTGTGTGGTCTTTACAGGAAACTGCAGGTTCTTGAATCTTGAGATAATCTCATAGCACAAAGAAGGAGCTGCTGATCTCATTCTTCTCACATTCTATTATGAGTAATTGTAAACTCTCTTTTTCTTTTTTTAATTTTAAATTGTCTTAAATTAGTACATCCTAAGAGGTGCCCATGTGATTCCACTAGTTTACCAAGCCTCCCCTGGCCAACAGGAGATCACTAATGCTCTGTGTTGAATTACAGACTACCAGGTCATCATCTTTTAAGTAATTTTGTTGTAATTAACACAAAAGACCTAGAATTTCAAATGTCTCCCAGGGAGTGTGCAGCCAAGACCTGCCCTTTCGATCTGCAGCTATCCTGGATTTGATTTTGACACAAAGGGAAATTAAAAAAAAAAGAAGTTGTAGTTAAACCTGACAGGAGGAAATGTAGAGTCCGTTGTAAACAAGATTTTCACACATATTCTTATAAGATACCACAGCGATGGGCTCACTATATTTGCCAGATAGATCGCCAGATCAGATAGAGCATGTTAAGTACAGAAACTCGCAAATCCTGCACAATGTTCCTAGTGAAAGTTTCAGCAAATATTTCTGAACTCGAGACCCCAGCCAGGGGAGTCACTGTTTAAAGTCGGTTAATTACACGCCGGGTTTCAGAGCGCCGGGTTTCGTTGCGCTGAAAACGGTTTTCCTCTCTCACCCGCTGACTTGAGAAGAGTCCGTTAAATCGGTGTGCACGGGAACTCAGCCCTGGCCAACACCGTAATGCGGCGGCTGCTGAAACAGCACCGAGAGCCGCCCCGCGTCCTGCTGCTCCGGGGGCTGCTGTGATCGCTCGCCCTCCACCCTTCGAGGGCAACGCAGCACCGTGCAATGTAGCACCTTGCGACACAGCACCCTGTGACACAGCACCCTGAGACACAGCACCCTGTGTCACAGCACCCTGAGACACAGCACCCTGAGACACAGCACCCTGTGATGCAGCACCCTGTGATGTAGAACTCTGTAGTGCAGCACCCAGCGATGCAGCACCCTGCAATACAACACCCTGAAACACAGCACCCTGCGACACAGCCCAGTGCCACAGCAGCACCCTGGGACACAGCACCCTGCGATGCAGCACCCTGAAACACAGCACTATGTGATGCAGCCCAGCACCACACCAGCACCCTGCGAGCAGGCGGGAAGGGTGCTTCCAAACCCATTTTTTTTCAAAGCCTGAAGGTGAAGACTGGAACAGAAACCGTCTGGCTTTTCTGGAAGTTCACTTTAGATTTGCAGTTTTGCAGGCGATCAGGGCTGGGAGAGCTTAAGCTTTAATTTTGGCCATGGTTCACCTTGTGCAGGGATGGGAGATTTCAGCCCGTGAGAGTCCTTGGTTACTCACAGCCATTTACAAACTACCCAAAAACATTGACTCGCTCTAAACCTTGGTCCTCCATCCACAAGAAGTGCCAAAAAAAGTCTGCCCATTCTTCAAATTATAGGATTGTGCGGTTCTGTGGTTTTCGGTGGTAGAAGCTCTGTGGTTTCTAAAGCTATTTTGTGCACCTATAAGACAGAGTAGCTGTTAGGCTTTACTTAAATTGAATTTTCAAAGCCAGAATCCCAAGCTCTAGCAATTTCTTTTGCTATATTTAAATAAAACAACTACAACAAAGTCATGTAGCCATCACTATGGTAACTAGCAGTGCTGAGGGGAAGCATAAAGAGGAAAATTCAATCCAAAACCCATGTAATTTAATAGGGAGAAAGCTCTCCCCGTTGCTAACATCCAAAATGTGCTTGGTGGCATCTACAAACCTTAAAATTCCTGGGTGTCCTTGGAGCAGCCACTCTCAGCAGGGTCTGTAACAGGTCCCACCTGCCCTGGACTCATCCTGTGTGCCAAAAGCAGAGTGGTCGCAGCTCCCAAAATTGGCTGGGACCACAGCAACCTCTCTCTGCTGTGGACCCAGGCATGGGCACTCCTCCGTTCAGAAATGTATTTTGCATCAATCTGGAGGAAAAGGGAGAGATTTACAAGCCAAACACTAGGAACATAAAGCACGTAGCCATACACAATTCACAGGCTTAATTGGCCTCACTTACTGATTCCCAGAGACTCCTTAAAGCTCTGTAGTATTTGATCCCAACAAACTGACTCTCTGTCACTTAGGCTGAGATTGGGAACAGCCTCT